GGCTTCAAACTTCAAAGGACAGGCCGAGACTCTTGTGAGGGGCTAATGCAGCTGGTGGCTGGAAGTTGAAGCCAGTGCTCATTTCCCATCCCCCAAATCCTAGGGCCCTTAAGAATGATGCTAAATCTACTCTGCTTGTGCTCTATAGAAGGAACAATGAAGCTTGTATGACAGGACATTTGTTTACAACATGGGTTTCTGAATATTTTAAGACCACTCTTGAGACCTGCTCAGAAGAAAAGATTCCTCTCAAAATATGACTGCTCATTGACAATGTGCCTGGTCACCCAAGAGCTCTGATGGAGATGGACAATGAGTGTTCTTTTCATGCCTGCTGACACAACATCCACTCGGCAGCCCATAAATCAAGGAGTTATTTCAACTTTCAATTCTTATTGCTTAAGAAATGTATTTTGTAAGGCTATAGCTGCTATAAATAGTGATTTCTTGGATGGATCTGGGCAAAGTTGATTGAAAACTTTCTCAAAGGATTCACCATTCTACATACCATGAAGAACATTCATGATTCATGGGAAGAGATCAAAATATCAGTATGGATATGAGCTTGAAAAAAGTTGATGCCAGCCCTCCTTGGTGACTTTGAAGGATTCAAGCCTTCAGTGGAGGAAGTAATGGCAGATGTGGTGGAGAGAGCAAGAGAACTAGAATTATGTGGAGCCTGAAGATGGGACTGCATCGTTGCAATCTCATGATCAAACTTTAATGGATCAGGGGTTGCTTCTAATTCTTCTAACTCACTTTATTGTGATACTCACTTTATTGCCCTGGTCTGGAACCAGACCCCCAGTATGTCTGAGGTATGCCTGTATTGTTCAGTGCTAAAAAGAAATGAGCTAATCAAGCCATGGAAAGGCATGGAGGAACCTTAGATGTGTATTACTAAGTGAAATAAGCCAATCTGAAAAGGCTACATACTGCATGATCCCAACTCTCCAACATTCTGGAAAAGGCAAAACTACAGAAAAAGTAAAATGATCAGTGGTTTCTGGGGGGGGGCAGGAAGGGAGGGATGAACAGACAGAACATAGAGGATTCTAGGGCAGTGAAATTACTATGTATACTGTATACTGTGTATACTGTAACTGAATACAAGTCATCAAAGATTTGCCAAACAAACCGGACAGAATGTTAACAACACCAAGAATCAACCTAATGTAACTATGAGCTTTATGACATGTGGCTGTAAGTTGAGAGACTGTAGCACATAGACCACTCTCTGCAGGATGCTGAAAGTAGGGGAGGCTGTGTGTGTGTCAGGGAAGAGGGTAGATGGAAACTCTGTACTTTTTGGTCACTTTTGCTGTGAACCTAAAATTGCTCTAAAGAATGAAGTCAGGGTGCCTGGGTGGCTCAGATGGTTAAGCGTCTGCCTTCGGCTCAGGTCATGATCCCGGGGTCCTGGGATCGAGTCCTGCATTGGGCTCCCTGCTCCTCGGGAAGCCTGCTTCTCCCTCTGCCTCTCTCTCTCTCTCTCTCATAAATAAATAAATAAAATCTTTAAAAAAAAAGTATTTAAAGAATGAAGTCAGTTTTTTCAAACAAGTGATGCTGGGGGCACTCAGCCTCATACCCTGCCCCTGGGGCTTTCAGTCATGAGTGCAAGGGCAGGGCCAGACTGTTTGTTTTCCCATCTATTCAGGGACAGGCTGTCCCCTTGGTCCTCACTCAGTTTACTTGGTTTGACTCCTGGCAGGGCCCGAGGTTCCTCTCTTTCTTGGTCTGAGGACATTTCCCCAGAGAAAGGCTTATAGGTCCCCGAGATCTAATAAGGAAGAGGCAAGGGTGGCCTTATTTGGCCACACTTGCCAAGGTCTTCCACAAGTGACAGCCGTGGCAGGCAGCATGAGGCCCTATGATGGTGATCCCACTCAGGGTTCTAACTCAGTACCCTAAATCTGACTTATGTGAAGGCCCAAGACTCCTCTCCCTGCTGACCTGGGACCTCCCCCACTTTTCTGTTACCCCTGAGGATATGAGGCCAGCTCTGCCTGCCATTTATGCCCGGAGCTCTGATGACAGTTTGAAGGATTCTGTGAGTCTCCACTGATGTGGATTTGGTGGCCCTTGAATGCTTCAGAGTACTCACCTTCCTCCCAGCACCCCTTGGAAAATCCTACCTCTACTGACCTGAGTCAATCAACCTCAGACCAAGATCTTCACATTTTTGACCTGTTAAGTGGAAGTCAGTTTCAGCCACATCATTCCAAGGCTGTTTGGGGACTCTGAGGGCTGACAGCAGGGTCAGGAGTCTATGGGCCACACTGCCCTGGGTGGCTGCTCTCTTCATGCTTCATTCAGAGTCCTCACCTTCATATGTGTCAGAGACTTCGAGTCCTCCCCCTAGTGACCTGAGGCTGCCTCTTAAGGCAGGACTCACCTGTCCCGGAGAACCCTGAGGAATAAGTGAGGGGATGCTCAGACTGACAACTTTGCCTGGCATGTTGCTCTCCCCTGTCCTACTATAAAGGGATCTTCATTATGGTTCCTCTTTCTTGATTGAAGGCTTCCTGGGAAAGGCCATGTCCCTGCAAACTCTTGACCATTTTCCTTACTGCAAACCCTTCAGAGACTGGGTCCCTGTCCCAGGAGTGATGTGAGACAGGGGAGCTGTAACACAAGGCAGAGACCCCCGAACACATGTGCTGTCAAAGGAAAAAAAAACACTTCATTTCTTCTTTTTAGCAACCAGACTTAGCTTTTTATATAAGTTCTGTTTGAACAGATGTAACTTTCTTTATGGAAGGGACTATCCGAAATGATTTTGTGAGCCCCTGATCTTTTGAGGTTACCTGACTTTGGATATATAGATGATCCTATTGTCACTGAATATTATCTCTTTTTCTCCTTTATTCACACTTCTCAATTATTTTGATATGGTAATTGCTCTGGTTATGTATTCTAATCCAGTATCTTGGGCACAAAGTCCTTTTTAGTACCTGAGACAATTTTTGTAGTAGTGAGAAGGGGGAAATAAGGAACATAAAGTTAGCCTAAGGCTGGGAGGAGCAGAAAAGTGTGGGCTTCAGACTAATTCAGGCCAGGAGTCTGGTTCCAAACCTGTCACTTAGCAGCCATGTGAAATTGGGCACAACACTGAACTCTTTGAGGCTGTCTTTTCATCTGTGAAATGGGTTTGATGGCTCTGTCTTGGGGACTGGTAGCACGTTCATAATGCACGTAGATGTGCATGGCACATTGCCCGGCCTGTACTGAGCTTTAAAGGTGCCAGTTCTTATTATGATCAATTTGTCCCCTGGAGTTTCAACTCACTGCAATGAGATTTAATTTTTAATCCAGGGGATGTCAGGAACTATGCAGTGCTCTAGAACAAAGAAAACTCTATCAGACAAAATGGTGCTTAGCAAGAAACACTAAGTAATTATTTCCCCATTCAAGTATGTCATCCAATGTCAGCATAAGGTGGACTTCCTTAGTGGATCAACACAAAGCTCCTAAAACATATTTCAAGGCCCCCAAACATACCTTCCTTTCAGACGCCCTTCTTTCTTTTTTTTTTTTTTTTTTT